ACGACGAACTGTCTGTACATTTTCTCGATGTCACCAGTGATGACGTATTGGTGAAGGCGGAAACGGAGAAGAATGTACAGCAGGTCATCTTGAAGCTTCGGTCCGACGTAAAGAGCGTCATTGAGAGATACTCCGGTGTTGGTGGCTGCTGAGCCGTCGAAAACTACGCGTAATTTCGTCGTCTCGCTCGTTATCTTAGTCACCCCGTGATGTGGGAGATAATATCCTCTTGCGTCTGTGTCTTCCGATACCTTTACCATATGTCCTAGTTCGAGGTATTCGTTCATTACCGCGTGATAATTATCCTTTAACGCTGCATTGTTCCGAAGCTTCTTTTCTTATCTTGCTCTGGTAGGTCCCGCAAAATTGCCTTGTGATTGGCTGCCCATTGCCTTATGTTTAGGCCCGCCAAGCTCAGCAATTTTGTTAATTGCTCTCGTATCGCGCGTGCTTCTTTGATGGATGATGCTCCAGTGAGTGCGTCGTCCACGTAGAAATCGCGGGTAAGAATTTTTGCGGCTTCCGGAAAACGGTGACCTTCATCCTTGGCCAGTTGGAAAAGACAACGGATTGATAAATAGGGCGCCGCAGACAATCCAAACGTGACGCGTTGTAGTTCGTACGTTTGGATTTCGCCATCAGTGTCGCGCCAAAGTATCCGTTGGTACTTCCTGTCTTTTGGTCGAACGATGAACTGTCTGTACATTTTCTCGATGTCACCAGTGATGACGTACTGGTGAAGTCGGAAACGGAGAAGAATGTACAGCAGGTCATCTTGGAGCTTCGGTCCGACGTAAAGAGCGTCATTGAGAGAAACTCCGGTATTGGTGGCTGCTGAGCCGTCGAAAACTACGCGTAATTTCGTCGTCTCGCTCGTTATCTTAGTCACCCCGTGATGTGGGAGATAATATCCTCTTGCGTCTGTGTCTTCCGATACCTTTACCATATGTCCTAGTTCGAGGTATTCGTTCATTACCGCGTGATAATTATCCTTTAACGCTGCATTGTTCCGAAGCTTCTTTTCCAACGATGTTAGTCGCCTTTGTGCCTGGGATTTTGATTCCCCCAGACGCCTTATTTTATCGTTAAAAGGCAGTGCTACGACGTATCGGCCGTCAGCCCTTCGTGAGACATGCTGCTGAAAATGTGCTTCACAATATTTGTCCGCGTCTGAAAGTATTTGACATTGAGACCCCTCCTCAATCTCCCAAAACCGTGAAATGTCGGATTGCAACGTGTTCGTTGCGTGACACAAGGCGCCGTGACCTTGTGTGGGAGATGGTGGGCTCCCCCCGATAACCCATCCTAGCCTCGTCTTCTGCAGGTAGAGATCGGGTTCATCGAGAGAAGATAGGCTAATTTGACCGACACTCAACATCGACAAGGCGACCCCGGAACCGAAGAGCAGGTCAATCGGTGCAGGTCGATGAAAATCAGGATCAGCTAATCTTATATTCTGCGGAATCTTAAGTTTGGACCGATCAAAGGGCTGATCCGGAATATGTTGCGCTATTTTAGGTATCGTAAGGAATGTCAAGGTTCGCTGGTATGCGTTGACCTTTGATTTTATGGTGGCTTTGACTTGATTTTTCGCGATCGTTGTCATCGCGTTGAGAGCGCCTACCGGAATGGAGCATTCCTTCTTTGGGATTTTTAACCGTTCAATGAGATTTTCCGTGATAAAGTTGGTCGTCGCGCCTGTGTCGATTAAGGCTCGAGCGTTGACTGGACGTTGAGTATTGTCCAAAATGCCAACTTGAGCGGTAACGAGTAAATCATTGTTCACAGTATCTATAGTGAACGCGTTGAAACGGTTTACATCCTTCGGGCCCTCAGATCGTTTTTGTTAAGCGTCCGATTCTCCCCCGTCGATCGATGACGTTCCGCGCCGCGACGTTGACGTTTCGCCTGTGCGATCCGGGATTGATTTAGGACGATGAATCAAGGTGTGATGCTGCTGTTTGCAGATCCGACAAGAGCTTTTCTTGCAAACTTCGGGGTTGTGATCTGCTCGTAAACAATTCTCGCAAAGCGAGGCTCTCTTGGCAGCTGCAATCCGTGCGTCGATTGAGAGCGAATGAAACTTCTCGTAGCTCCAGATCCCACGTAACCCGTGGCAAATCGCGCATCTCGGAGGGTTCGCGGAAGTCGCGGATGTCGCGGAAATCGCGGTAGACGCGGTAGTTTTTGTTGGGTCTATCCTCCGTAATTGATCGCGTTGTCGTTTGGGACCGTTGACGATAGCGGAAGTTGCAAAGGCATGGGCCCGCGTCACATATTTATGATTCGTTTTCGCGGGTGGAGCATAAGTTGTCTGCTTAGGTAACGACGATTTCTGCTGAACCGTCGGCAGACAGTTTGCTCGTTTCTCGAGGAAATCGAGTAGATTTTGGTATGACGGCATTTGCTTGTCCTTTAATGAAACCTCCCATTGCCACGCGGAGTCGACGCTGATCTTTGATAAGATTATGGAAACTAAGATGCAGTCCCACGAAGAGGTGTCGATGTTTAAATTTTCCAAAGACCTGAGGTTTTGACGAATCGTGTCTACCAATTCCCCTAACGCTTCCGGTGTATCTCGCGAAAGCTTCGACATTGATAGCATGGCGTCGCAATGGTTTAAGAGTATGCGCCGTTTACAGCCCGTTTACAGTCGAATTTCTCTTTAAGGAGGTCGATCGCGTCCGCGTAATTCGCGTCTGTAGTACTAAGCGACTGGATGCATGCGGCGGCCCTTCCCGTCAGTGTTGACCTTAAGTATTGCAACTTCTGTACGGGCGTAAGATCGGCGTTTTGGTCGATCATGGAGTAGAAACTGTCGAAGTACGACGTCCAGTTTTCGATATTTCCATCGAACGTTGGGAGTCGCTTTTCCGACAACTTAATTGCCATCGGGGCTGCTACGGATGGGGATGAAGAATCCGTGGTGTTTCTTCTCGGAATCGCGGATGAACGGGACGATGACGTTTCGTCTGTACGATCCGGGATTGATTTAGGACGATGAATCAAGGTGTGATGCTGCTGTTTGCAGATCCGACAAGAGCTTTTCTTGCAAACTTCGGGGTTGTGATCTGCTCGTAAACAATTCTCGCAAAGCGAGGCTCTCTTGGCAGCTGCAATCCGTGCGTCGATTGAGAGCGAATGAAACTTCTCGCAGCTCCAGATCCCATGTAATCCGTGGCAAATCGCGCATCGCGGAGGGTTCGCGGAAGTCGCGGATGTCGCGGAAATCGCGGTACGCGGATGGCGCGGAAATCGCGGTAGACGCGGTAGTCTTTGTTGGGTCTATCCTCCGTAATTGATCGCGTTGTCGTTTGGGACCGTTGACGGTAGCGGAAGTTGCAAAGGCGTGGGCCCGCGTCGCGTATTTATGATTCGTTTTCGCGGGTGGAGCATAGGTTGTCTGCTTAGATAACGACGATTTCTGCTGAACCGTCGGCAGACAGTTTGCTCGTTTCTCGAGGAAATCGAGTAGATTCTGGTATGACGGCATTTGCTTGTCCTTCAATGAAACCTCCCATTGCCACGCGGAGTCGACGCTGATCTTTGATAAGATTATGGAAATTAAGATGCAGTCCCACGAAGAGGTGTCGATGTTTAAATTTTTCAAAGACCTGAGGTTTTGACGAATCGTATCTACCAATTCCCCTAACGCTTCCGGTGTATCTCGCGAGAGCTTCGGCATTGATAGCATGGCGTCGCAATGCAATGGTTTAAGAGTATGCGCCGTTTACAGCCGAATTTCTCTTTAAGGAGGTCGATCGCGTCCGCGTAATTCGCGTCTGTAGTACTAAGCGACTGGATGCATGCGGCGGCCTTTCCCGTCAGTGTTGACCTTAAGTATTGCAACTTCTGTACGGGCGTAAGATCGGCGTTTTGATCGATCATGGAGTAGAAACTATCGAAGTACGACGTCCAGTTTTCGATATTTCCGTCGAACGTTGGGAGTCGCATTTCCGGCAACTTAATTGCCATCGGGGCTGCTACGGATGGGGATGAAGAATCCGTGGTGTTTCTTCTAGGAATCGCGGATGAACGGCTTCCCTCGATCAACTGGTTCGCCTGCGTGACCGCGGCTATATAACGGCCATGGTATTCGTACCGACGCGGACTCTCGGAATCGTCTAATTCTTCTAATTCAAATTGAACCGCGTTAAAACGCTCCCAAATAAGGTGCATACTATCTAAGTGAGTTCGCAAAAGACCTATGTCGCGCTTATCGGATTTCTGCATTTTGTCCATAATTTTCTCAAACGTGGTAATGTGACCCACGATATTGCCACGCTTACGTCGTAGTGCAGTGGCATGAATGCTTTGTGAGGCAGATTGACTCGTGGAATCGTCAGAGGATTTAGCCATGATGGGAAAGAGTTAAGGATATCGGCGAAGAACTAAAAAGCCTACCTATACGATGCGGAGACCTGAAGCCCTTGACGGAGATGGTGTATACGTGAGGATGGTCCTGAGCGATGAAATCGTTGCCCCAGCAGTTTGCCTCTTTAGTCGATCTGCGGGCTGCCGTGGTCCACAGACTGCACTGCTGTCCTCCTGTCCAATTGTCCGACGGCAGGGATGTCCTCAGATGCAGAATTATACAGGAACGATGCGTCGTATAAATGTGGCGACACTCATGCTGTTGCACCACTTGCACCACGTTTTTAAAGTTAAATGTCGTTTAACCACAACCGCACTACCGTAAACTGTGTGAACTCTCACTTATTGCCGGATAATATCCGGCTCGAAGGACCAAATGTTTTTTCGTAAATTCCTACGACCTTTTCAGGAGATAGGAAATATTTCAGAGTGTGTTTGACGTAATAGAAAATGTCTCAGATTTGCGATTGTGGAAAAAAAATGTAACTGTTTAATGAAAGGAAAAATGAAACTGTATGAATTTTGACTAAGTACCGCGAGATTATAATGTTTCCCGGATTAGACGAGATTACTATGTTTCTCGATTAAAAGAGAGTATAATGTTTCTCTTCGGAGTTGCTGATATATCTAACGCTCTGCTTAGATGTTTCCGTACAGGAAAAGTACGTATTTCCACCTCTTTGCCCAATCAGTCATATTTTTAACCAATTGAATTTAGGCACTACTGACCTATCCCTACTTCCTTGCGTCCGAAACGCGATTCGTAGGAAGTAGGAAGTGTCAGTGGAAGTGGAAAACGTAACTGTATATTTTAACGAAATTTGATGGAGTTTCCGTAGGGTATGGGTGCCGATTACCTGACGGGTATGACGGTCACCAGGGTCAGTTTGGCGACCCTTCGGAAACTCATGTTTATGGCACGGGCAATTGGCCGCTGAGGACTTCAAAAAATTAAAAATATTCTAACTGTCGGATTAAATAATAAACTAACTCTCAAAAACGGTCTTGTTGATTTGCATGCAATAAACATGCTGGCAATTTGTAGTTTGGGTACTGTCCCTGGTACAAATTGCCAACCATCTGGAGTTTGTAAAAATGTAAAATGAAATAAACATAAAGAATTATATTTCGTGCCTATGCTACGAAACAGGATCTGTAATGAAAGAAATTTCCTAACTGTTCTAAAAATATAAAATTCACTAGTAAATGCATCGCACATTTTAGCGTGATTGAAAAATCAAAACCAGTCATAAAATCTCTCAACTTTTTATTAAGTTTAGTGCTTTCTGAGTGTATTAGTAAAAAAAAAATGTAGTACATTGTTCCTCATATATTTAAGAACCTCGAACAACAAAAAGTTTATAGTTTATGCAAAATTTTTGAAATCGACTTTTGTCCGGTTTGTCGGTTCAAATACCCCACTTTGTGCTGGCCACGCGGTCTAAGCCGTCATTCTGAAGAAAGCCAACATGACGGCAGTGGTCAAATTCAAGAAACAATATATTTCGCTGACGTTCCCTTTCCCGTGAAGAGAGAGGTGGCTTATGCTACTTCCATCACCGTTTTGCGGAGAGAGTCCACAGGTGCGAGCAGCCATGTTCCTGGACGGGGCCACCTCCTGGACACAGCAACAACAGCTCCAGCTCCAGACCAGCCTAGGGAAATTAGCAGCGCAGCCCCGATGCACGCTGATGTATGCGGACCCATGAGAACTCTGTCTCATTCGGGAAATCGCTATTTCGTTGTCTTTGTAGACGGCAGATCTAGATGGTGCAGTCTAGAATTTGTTACACAAAAATCAGAAGTACGGGAATGTTTCAAAAGGTACAAAACCCGGGTTGAAACTGTTACTACCAAGAAACTGACATTTCTTCAGATAGAAAATTTTGTAATACTGAACTTAATAGTTATTTCAATTAACGAGGTATTCAAAGACGCTTATCACATTCATATGCACCGTAGCAAAATGGTGTGATGGAACGAATGAATCGCACTTTCGTAGAAATGGGCCGCTACCTTTTGAAACAAGCCAAAATGCCACCAATCTACTGGGCAGAAGCTATTGTTACAGTGTATTATATGCGAAATAGGTATATCAGTAAGAGCCTGGAAGGGGGTACAATTAATTCATTTTAACCCTTAAGTGCATATAGTTGTATAAATGCAACATACCAGTTTTAATCTTATAAATTATATACAAAATGTAGGAAACCTGCAATGAGTAGTGTTGCAGATATGTCACGTACCAATCAAATACACAATAGCGTCATCTGTTCGTTTTAATTTGAATCAACCGCTTTCAAGGTATTTTGTTAGTTGATAACTTTTGGTAAAATTAGAAACTCATGCATTTAAGGGTTAAAACTTTTAGATGCAAAGCTTTTGTTCTCGATAAAACGGCCAAAAGAAGATTTGCGTCACGAGGAAGACCATGTGTTTTTGTCGGCTACTTACAAATTTCAAAGACATATAGACTCTAGGATCCAGAAGCAAAGAAACTAATAATCAGCCGAAATGTAAAATTTATGGACTCCATGTACTACGATGAAAATATGAAAAATTTCGAACCCGAAAGGGAAATTAGCCCAGAAGAGAGCAATGATAAACATTAAGATCAATCACACGTAGGAATCATTACGGATGCAGTAGGCCCTCGACTTTCGCACATAATTGGTTCCTGAACGTGTGTGCGAATGTTGAATGTTCGAAAGTAGAGGGATGTAAACAAATATGCACCACAAACTGTGTTTCAACCAAAAATTTATCTATCAATATGTATACATAATGAAGTTAAAGAGACCTGTTAAGTGCTTTCAGCTGTTTCCTTTATAAAGTTGTCAAGAGTTAATTGAATACTGTCAGAGTTTCATACAGATGAGGTTTACGACATGACGAGAGAATGATCACTTTTGAACCCTATAATTTAGTATCCGTACCATCTGCGTGCCAGCACTAGTGACAATTTGTAGTTTTTAGCAGATTTATTTATTGCTGCACTAGTCTTTAGAGTTTTTGGCTTCAGTGACACAGACCATGTCATAAACCTGGAGGCTTAGAAGACCAGAGTGCGATTTTCAAACGGAGCACATAATTTAGTGATTTGAATTGTGACAATTTTATTTTTGTGTCTCTTAACACATTAAGGACCGCTCACGAGTTTTCTCGTGTTTCGCGTTCCGTCTGTTACGGATGGATCACGAAATAACCCGTGTTTTCTACACGCTGTCTTTAGATGTCGCCTACTTTGATACATTATATCTACTTTGTGTATTTAAGTATTTACATGAATAGACAATGTATTAAACTTGATGATTAAATCCTTGGTCTTCCAAGAATCGAATCAAGAAGTGACTCAAGATATATATGTAAATTTTGTATGGTTCCTCTTCACAGAGAAAAATGTTTCACACAATATCATACTTTAAAAAAGTATTAGAAACTTCGGTGAAATTTATTTATAAATAAAATTTTATAATAATAATTATAAGACAATTTTTTTGATAATACCTAAAGTGCATCCCATTTTACAATTTCTAAAAATTTCGTACAAATTAATTTTTTAAGTAAAAGTTATTATAATTATTAAAAAACATAATTTTTTTTCAATAATACCTAGAATGCATCTTATTATATAATTTCTGAAAGTTTCACAAAAATTGCTTCATAAATAACAAAGTTATGATGATTTTAGAACGTAAAAGTTTGCCCAAAAATGTGCGGTCCCAGGCGTATGTCTTACAGATTTCTTTGCGGTCCTTAATGTGTTAATCTCTTAGTCTCTTGATGTTAAGACATCAAGGGGACAAATTTATGATACGGTCAAATATTCATAGAGTCATTTGTAAACTGTTAGTTTTTTCTTCTTTGTGAGTTCAGCAGGCCGGCCTGTAGCCAGTATGCAGCACATAAGGGTCATTTTAGAAATTGAGCTATTGTCAATTTTTTTGCTTTAGCCTGGGTATCATAATGTCGTATTGCAGAGGGTTCCTTAAAATTTCACAAATTAGTGTCCACAGGGATCTTGACCTGACGGAATTTCCCCAATGTTGCCAAACATGTGTTAACGATAGCGACCAGCCCGTCACCCCCGGTCCAGGAATGTACCGCGCTTTGGGCGCACTGGAAGGGGATGACTCGGTTTAGGTTCCTCAGGGATCTATCCTTACGCTCCTATTACGGGTTCTAACATATGACATGATACTCAAATCGAGTACGGCAAGGGACCTTAGGGTCATCTGCTATGCGGATGACACGCTGGTACTCCTTGCCGGAAAAAATGCAAAGGATGCCATTAGTAAAATCAACGAAATCTTAAAAAATTTAATTGAATTAATTGAGTCTTTAGGCCTGCAGATCTCCCCAGGGAAAGCTGAGGCTCTAATCTTTGGAGCTTTGCAGAATAATAAAGAATGGAACAAACACCAGATAATGGTAAAAAATGATATCATTAAACCCAAAATGAGCATTAAGTATTTAGGAGTTATAACTGATACTGCTTTAAATTTCAGAAGCCACCTCGAATGGGTGGAGAACAAGACTGAACTGACCCTGGGGAGATTGGCTAGAATTATGCCGAACATAAGGGGACCAAGAACCCAAAGAAGGATCCTACTTGCCTCTGTGGTGGTATCCGTTGTTCTATATGCAGCGCCAGTGTGGGTGGACACCCTAAATAAAGCATGAAATAATAAGATTATTAGTAGGGTATGTAGGAAGTGTGCACAGCTAATCAGCTGTGCATACAGAACTACTTCAGGCGAAGGGACGGGGGTTATAGCGGGGCTCCCACCCCTTGACCTCATAGCGTGGAACCGCATAAAAGTGTTTCACGAATGTCAGGACTTAACTAAGAATGGGGTAACGGTAAATAAGAGAATAAAAAATAAGATAAAAAAGAAATGTGATGCTGATATGATAAAGGAATGGCAGCGCAGGTGGAGTTCTCGGGGTCCACTCGACAGTGGCGCGTGGACCCGTAGAATCCT